GACGGACACTGCCGTTAAGGTCGCGGAGAGGACAACTTGGATCCACGCCAACCACTGTCGTACGGTGCTGCCACTGAGGGCCATAGACGAGGACACCGAGGGCGCGGACGGACCAGGCCCATCCGCGGCTCCCTACGCTGAAGAAGTCGGCCGGCGTGCGACCACCGTCGGTGAAGCAGGCCAACAACAACACCCAGAGAATCCCAGCGTTCCCGAGGCGACCCCCCTTTTGCCCAACTCCCCTGCCTCCGAATCCCGAGACGACCCCCTGTGGGGCACTAATGTACCCGATGACCACAAATTATGGACCACAGTGGCCATACTTGAATTCACGACCTCTTCAGGACCGGTTGGTCCTGGACCACCTGACCGCGTCTGTGGGAGGCGTATGCACGATCATTGGGTCGTCCTGCTGTACATATATTCCGGCTAATGATGAGGACGGAGGTCTTATCCAACAGGGCATAGCCGATCTGACTAGACTCCGGGACGCCATGCAAGCGGACAATGTCACGGACACTCCTCACGGTCTGGACTGGCTCCTGTCCTCCTGGCGGAGTGTGCTCATTAATCTTGGTTTAGCCCTATTGACTGTTATGATTTTGTTTTCATGTGTATTACCTATGGTGTTTCGGGCCGTTGGTAAGATGATATCCACCCACTTTGTGTCCATTCAATGCAAAGACCCCGAGGCGGACCTGGCCGCTGTCCCACTGAACTCCGATCCTGATTATATCAGCGACTCGGACGATGACTTTGTCTAACGTTTTTCTTTCTTGTTTACCTTGTTTTTATTTTTCCACTTGTTTCGCCTACAGTTTAGGGGGAGGGTATCACAGTGAAGAGCTTTGACCACACCCTCGTAATACAAGAGGCTTGGGTGACGGCAGCCTAGCCTGTCCATCAACAACTCTTGTTTTTGCTCAGGGGTCAAGGTCAATACTCACCCACCTGAATGTGATCTCTGTAAAACTGGAGTTTCTACATTATCACGGGAGAGGAGTGTGATGGCAATCTGCTTGTGACTCGGGGACGCCAACTCACCCCCCCCTGCTGCTCTATCCAGCTAACCTGCAGGAAGGAGCCAGTCCTTCCCGCACCGCCAGACAATGATGCAAATCACTGTCTCACCCCTGTCCCTTTCGCATCTGTATGCCTGCCTCTCTACATCCTGCATGACCATTGTCTGTCTGTTCGCACCCCCATCCCAGACGGCGCCAACGCTCCCCATGCGCCTCCTCACCGGTGGCCCCCTCCCATCTGTTGTGGGCGGGACTGGCTTTCGTGTGTGTCTTGTATACAGGAAACTCGGGGCTCTGCGCCCAGAGCTGGTACATGCTGCCTTTGTGTGTATGTGCTGGCTCTCCGCACGTGTGTATAATAAATTTACGCTCCTGATTTAAGACAAACACTTTTGGGCTTTCTCCTTCATTGGGTAGAAACTTCCTTAACAGGGGAAAACAATACTAATGGGAATGGGAATGGATAAGAGGTCTCTCATTTGACATTTGTAATTTCAAATGTAAGGCTTGGTACGTAAGGCAAACTGAATGCCAGAAGTCATTCATTGTGTTTCTTTGGAATTTGTATTCGTTAAAATAAAATTGGGACGGAGTAAACAAGGATTGTTCAAATCTGGGACGTACTGTACTCTTGTTTTCATATGAATTATTTTCTGACAAAGCAAAAGAATTTTTAGAATAACCCCAAGTAAACCACAGATGCCCCACATATTGTATAGCAGGATGTTCTGTATTTGGAACAATGCAAACCTGTAAGCATGGGGTGATTACCGGCATATGTAAATACTCAGACTGCAAATGTCATTATGGAGGATGAGAATAGCTCCTCAAATGATCCCCACACAGGAAATATGTGGCGCTCATATTGGGTTTGTGAGCGAGAGGCTTCAAAACAAACTCAATTATAACAACCGGCACATTCCCCATAGAGACATTAGGACATTTGATGCATTATTTTAGCAGCGGGAGATACCTGTGTGAAGAACGCAGAATACAGACAAGAAATGGATCAAATATGAGTTTTTAAACATGGCACCTGTAAACAAGCAACATTAACTGTACATGTATGTTTCTGGATGAGGTTATGTTACTTGAAGTTTCCATGGCGATAGAGCAAAAGTCCCCCAGGGTTCTATTCTTGGCCCAATCCTCTTCTTGTACTGATTGATATTATTCATATTTGTTTCATGTATTCTTTCCTTGTCTTTGAATTATGACATTCTACTTGAATTCTAAAGGCCAAAATAAAATAAAAAGTATACTGTATATATAAAAAAAAGAAAATCCTCTTCTCAATGCTCCTGGTTCTCAATGTTCCTGGTACCACTTTTACAAAGAGGACCAGATCTATTTGCCCATCTCAAAACCAAGAGCTGACCTCCCGCCACCCCTTGGTGACGTCAAGGCTTGGTTGGCCCAAAATATTCTGTGTTTTAAAAAGAAGGAAACTGGAAATGGTTTTGTTAGGACCCACAGATCCCCATTATCTCCCTCAAAGATGATGTCCATTCCTTCGCTGCAAACCTTGGCGTCACCATGGACAGTCATTTTAAAATTGATCTTAAACTTTTAAGCAGTTCAGCACAGTCGTTGAACCTTCTTTATCTACACTTATATTTTACGTCTCGACAACTGTGAGGCCCTTTATACTGGGATTACACAAAAAAGCACTTTCACACTTAAAGTTTACAGTTTAGAACGCTATGGTCACAATCTATGGTCCAAAGTTATGTCTTTCCCTCCATGTCTCCTCCTGAAGCTGATCTAAAACTCACTAAATTAAAGCTGGGGCACCTACATTTTCTTGCTTGCTTCATTCCATTAATGATGCATGTTGGTTGTGCCCAAAAGTAAAATATTGTGAACAAATCGAAAGAGGCTTGTGAGTCCCTAATTGACTTGTTTGGCTAAGAAAGGGGATATAATGAGATGTATGGGGGGCACAAAATGTTTTCTTCTTCCTACGGGATTCCAAGCAGAAAATAATTGACTGGACTAAACACACGCATCATTTAACGGTGGTAACTTCGGTTGTTGAACAAAAATGTTTTCTTCAAGCAAATCTAGAAGAAAACATCTGTTGTCACTCAATCGCCTTAAATCCAGAATTGTCAAAAGTCACATTTCCTTTTTTTGTGTGCGGTGTTGACGGGCACATTATTAGCAGATCTGAGGTCAGCGGACGACCGGCGGCACGACACACTAAGATCTAATGTTGTCACCGATTTATGTGAACAGTGCGGAGGAATGAGTGATTAACTAGGCCTCCTCTCACAGCTGGGCACAGAATCAAATTGAGAGACTTTTTATCACCGAGCCGGGAGCTGGAACGATGCGGAATGTTTGTAGTTTTAAGACAAGCCAAAATATTAGTATATAATATTATATATTATATTATAATATAATATATAATATATAATATAATATTATAATAGTAATTATATTGAGGATAAACTGCCATATTTGATAAGCCTGATTCAACACCACTCTATGGGTCTACATGACATTTTAATTCATTTTGTCTTGATTTTGGTCTGCAACCTATGCAACTGTCATAACATCTGTTTTCAGAGCAGGCTTGGGCCAACTGTGGGCTGAGGACATTGCTGATACCCACTCGCTCAATGAAGCCCAACAGGGAAGTGCTCATGAACACAGTTTTGCTCCAATTTGCTCTGGCTCCTATTGACTTACATTGCAAAGTAAAACCCACTAGCTCAGTAACTGTTTGTGAACAAATCTGCGGTTTAGTGCACTCTATGATCCTGGTGTATGAATGTGTATAATGTCTTTGTAAATCCAGTTTTGAGTCATAATAGGATTGACCTATTCATTGGCAAAGGAATTTAACCCTAACCCTTTGGAACAAACGCCCATATACAGGGTGCATGCTCTTTTTCCAAATTAAAATTCCAGTCTTTTTCTGAACTTTTTCAAAACCTTAACTTTATGTTCTTGTAAACTTGTGTGCCTACTGCCTTCGAAAACACGCAATGACCCTCATTTCTGTTGACCACTAGGCTAGCTATGTGTCAATAGTAGTTTATTTATATAGCGCATTTTACAGACCAAGGTACAGACCCAAAGCGCTTTACAATGTTCAGAGTCAGATATTGTTCCAATCCTTCCACACACGGTGATGACAGAAGCGAGTCCAGAACACACTGGACCATCAGCTCCAACACCATCCATTCCCTCTCTCATTTACATTCAGACCTATTGTACATGTTTTTAGCGGTAGGGGAAACCGGAGCACCTGGAGGAAACCTACACAGACACGGGGAGAACATGCAAACTCCACTCAGAAAGGCCCTGTTCCGACTGGGATTCGAACCCAGGAGAGGCGAGAGTGCCATCCACTCCCAATAGACCTCAGCAGTGACATCACAAAAATGTGCTAAGCTAGCGTTGATTGGATATCCTTCCATTAGGCTAATACAGTAAGTGACTAGTTAGTAGAATTATAGTTTTATAGCCTACCTTCTTATTTCTCATTTCACAACGCCTTTGAGAATACTGTGAAAATCTACCATACATTTTTTTCTCCATACTTTCACCCAAAATTCAAGACTTTTCAAGGTCTGGAAAACAGTGCTTCAAAATTCCATACTTATTAAGACTTTCAATACTTGCGCAAGCACCCTGATATAAGGAAATTGGTTCCAGCTAGCTTATGTTCAGATTCTTACGGGGAACTATTGTATATGTTTTGGGTCAGACCGGAGCACCACTAGATCTGCGGTAAAGTTCCATAAAGGGGCTTGGAAAGATTATGATGTTTAAAATTGATCCATGTCAGAAAGAAACTCTACAGCAGATGTTTTCCTAAAATGTTTTTGACAATTTGAGGAATGATCCGTCTTCAATTATATTCAACACCATTTCATTAGCTGTTATTCATGAATGTGTGCAGTGCAAAAATCGTTGAGCGACAATCCAAGACGTCCCTTCCAATCAAGTGATTCCTCAAGTGTTTGCTTAAATCTCCACGTTCTCTGCTCGTCTACACTTATCGCAGTGGTAAAACTCAATCACAGTGGGACGCCTCAAATTCCGATGGGAGAAATACGCTGTGTGATTGGTGCGTGTGTGTGTGCAGGTGTATGTAAAAGTGTGTGTGCGGAGTACTTGCCTTCTGGATCTAACAGTCTCTCTATCCCCAGGTGCTGCTCGGCCTTATTAAAAGCATGTTCCAGTCGATCAATGGCTGACACCTTCTTCTCCAGCGAGCTCCACTCAAAAAGCTCCGGTCTGTGGACAAAAAACCACAATATTGGAGCTAAACGTCTAAAAATAACAACACTATACATTTAATTATTTATTATTCAGCCACTACTCTGTATTCAGAAGTTTATCGCTCAGAAATTAAGACAGATCCTACAACATTTGTCAATTTTCTGCGCGGTCCACTATGCACAACAATAGCTAATTATAATATAAACTCATTTTTAAGCCGTTTCGCAATTTGCATTCACACAATTTTTCATGTTATTTTGTGGCTTGATTGTGTGTTTCTTGTTGATAATTTGTGGATTGGTCTCACAGAGCTGCATTGTTGTCGGTGGTCCGAGGCTGCTGACCGGCGCGTGGCAGTAAAAGTGCTTTATGGTCTCTTATTCCAGCTCCTATAGATCCTTTCTCCGCTGTTTAACGCTGTAATTAAATGAGCGGAGCTGAGGCAGGCGGAGTTATATTTGGACGTGTTCACTCAGCACTGCGTGTCTCTGTGCTGGGCTGTGAACTTTTACAGCTAACTCTACAATACTGATGATTGAGTCGGGAGCGAGGTGGCGAGTGGCTTTTGGAATCACACATTAGGCAAGGCAAAGCAAGTTTATATGTATAGCACAATTCATACACAAGGCAACTCAAAGTGCTGAACAAAATAAGAAAGCATTAAAATCATAATTAATCACAGAACATTAAAAAGAAAGAAAATCTAAAATCCCTCAGTTGTATGCACAGCTAAACAGAACTGTTTTTAACCTTGTTTTAAACATTGTCAGAGAGGAGGCCTGTCTCACATCTTCAGGAAGATTGTTCCAGATTTTAGCAGCATGAATCTGAAATGCAGCCTCCCCATGTTTAGTTCTGACTCTGGCCACCAGCAGGAGTCCAGTCCCTGTGCTCCTCAGAGTCCCAGCAGGAGTCCAGTCCCTGTGCTCCTCAGAGTCCCAGCAGGAGCCCAGTCTCTGTGCTCCTCAGAGTCCGGGCCACAGGAAGCCAGTGCGGAGACCTGAGGACCGGACTAATGTGATCATACTTCTTGGTTCTAGTCAGGACTCGAGCTGTCGCTCGAGTCTTTTTCCGAAACGGCCGGTTCGCAGTGGCACCAGTCTAAGCACTTCCCTATCCGCACACGCTTCCTCCATCTCCATCCATCCATCCATTTTCTTCCCCTTAATCCATTTCTGGGTCGGGGAGGTGGCAGTCAGAGCTGCACCCAGTACACAGAGCACCAGCCCCTCACTGATCCTCCTGCAGGTGGTGAGTCCACAGGAGCTGAGATCTTTCAGTGGGGGCTTCAGGCAAAGTGGGATTAAGTGTCTTGCCCAAGGACACAACGACAGCAGTCATCAGTGGGAGTCATCTCAATTATGTAAATGTATTTATTTATTTGGATCCCATTCAATTAATATCTGTGGTTACATACATTTGAATTAAAGAAACTTAAAACTGTGAGATGTGTGTGCAAAGCAAAATCATCAAAATATGTATGTTTCTAAGTTGACATTTTATGCAGACTTTATTATCCACCTGAGGATATATGACCCCTTCATTTAACCCATCCAAACAGTGTCACAAGAATGAATATTTTATGACAAAAAAAATCAAGGGGGAAAGAACTGACCCTTTAGGAACTCGTATGTCATATAGTGATTGAACTGTATGAGTGATGTGACTTTAAAAACAACATATTTCCTAAACCATAAATCTAAAGCTGGACAAGCCCCAGTCTTGTCCTCTCCTCATCCCAACCCACCCCTCTCCCCCTCTCCCCCACACTGTCCCTCACCTGTGGCTGTGGATGAGGGCATTGAAGGCCAGTCCATCATTCCAACTGCTGGAGAAGTTCACCACATTGACCTGAGAAAGAACAGACACAGTGAAGTTTATTACATAGAGTTACAGTTTTGACCCCACACAGACCACCAGCAGCAGCTCCGGTCTTCACCTGAAATCACCTGCTCCAGACCTATTCACTTTGTTGCAAGGGATCTCTGCTACCGTTCTATTTTCCTTGAGGCTTTCTAATGAAGTGGAAGACCGAAGCGAGAAATGGCACGTTTATTTTTTTACATATCAATGAATGTGAATGTGTTTAGGGCAGTCCAAAGCACATTTTTGGTTAACAGTAGACGGGGCTGGAGTGCTTCTTGGATGTAAAAATGAAGTAAGGAAAAAAGTTAACTTTTGGTGCTCTTCAGTGGAGGGACCAATGTTGAAAATTCAGACAGAAGACTGAGGCACTCAAAAGTTGCAAAAATCTTTAAAAGCCTTTATTTCACATGGCAAAAGAGGTTAAAAGAGGTTAAAATTACGCCTACGCGTTTCAGCCTTCTGGCCCTCTTCAGGGCTTACTCGAGAGGAGTGTCTCAGTGCAGATTTAAACAGAATGGTGCTTGTCACATGATCAGTGGGCGGGCCTAAAGTCACACATTTTTAAAACTGGAGAAAATATTGAAACTCCCAAAAAAGTGCAAAATATTATGTACACACCTGTTAGCAATACAATGTACAAGAAATATATTCAATTGTCTCAAAGTTTTTTGAAAAAACCTGGGAATTGATTGGGTTTTAAAGTATATATCTGGTAGGACTCTCTTTGAAGTGATGTCTTGAGTCTGTTTCCAGCTCTTATCGTCTCCGGAATATGCTCGATGCCACAGATCTTCAGGCTACTGCAACTTCTATGGTTGGAGTCTCTGTAGTGTAGAGCCATTGGATATTGTGGGTTTTTTGTCCTTATAGCTTGCTTATGTTCGGCCAGTCTGTTTTTCAGTTTCCATTTTGTACGGCCTACATACAGTAGAAGCGGCCCCAGGGACACTCAAGTCTATAACCTACAAAGGTAGTATTACAATTGATCAATTATAATCCACAATAAACCCTTGTGGTTTATATGTCAACAAAAGAAGGGTATTGCTTGAAGCCCTTTTTGAGAGAAATCTGTGTAGGGTGTGTTTTGTCTTCTTAGTTTGATCAGAGACTGCTAAGCGCCGGCATTTCTCTTTGTAAATTCAGCAGTGTAAAAACTAATCTTTGTCTGATTGTGTGTGTTTTGTCCGTGTAAACTATGCTAGAATTAGGGATGTAAAAAACTATGAATTTTCATGACCGACCACCGAGCCTCATTAACCGGATGAAACCGGTTAACCGCGTAGTTTAAAATAGTCCACGTTCTTTGAAATAACAGCCATTTCGAGCTGCGTACTTTTCATAAGTGCAGCTCTGCGTTCTACTGGATCAGAGCTGAGACAGCGGCGCCCAAACCCGCAACAGCTCCGGCACCTTTGCGCACAGAGAACTGCTTTTTTAATCTTCCCATTCTGCTGTGCTGCGGGTTAATACCAAAAATTTCTAGAAGCAAACGACGGCTCGTTCACATGGTCAGAGCAGCGAGTGACGAGCCGCGTCTCACAGGTCTTCACAAAAGTTTAAATACAAGTGATGTGTGTGGAGCTGATGCCGAGGACCATAAACACAAACATGTTCCATGTGGTTTGACTGGAGCCGCGTATTTGCGCGAATCCTTTGGGCTCCGTGACACAGAGGAGCGCGACAGACCGGTATGTGTGTGTGTATGTGTATGTGTATGTATGTGTGTGTGTATGTGTGTGTGTATGTATATGTGTGTGTGTGTAAATGTAAGCTCCAATGTAGTTCTGACCCGCGCCAGTGTGCAACTTTGACGGTAACAGAGGGGAGAGATGATGCGTGTGGATGTTACGTATGGAGAGGGGGAAAGTGTGTGTGTGTGTGTGTGTGTGTGTGTGTGTGTGTGTGTGTGTGTGTGTGTGTGTGTGTGTGCGCGCGCGCGCGTGCGCGTGTGTGCATATGTGGCTCGTGCGGCGTGAGAGTCGTCCCGGAGTTTATAATACATGGGCGCACACAGCTAGATACAGACCCGCTCGTCACACCGTGCAAATAATGCTTAAAATAGCGTTATTAAGAGACCTCCCCTCCCCTTTTTCTCTTTTTTCAACCGACAGCTTTAACCGATTAACGCTGTGACGGTCAACCACCGGTTAAACGGTCGCCGATTTACATCCCTAGCTAGAATCAGCATGAGCAAAGACACAATTCAAAACTTGACTCAAAATGCAAAACGTGAGTCACGAGTTGCCAGTTGCAACCGTTGTCAGGATATTGAATTGCATATGTCTGTTGTCTTTGTTCGCGTCATTTATAGATACAGCGGTTTGGTTTTCTCTAATGCCGTCCCTTTGAAGCCACTCTCTGATGTCCCCACTGTCACATGTTCAAGGCACACTACTAAAAAAACTCTTCCATATTATAAAGCCAGCGATGAGGGCTTTTCCATTGCACAACCTTTACATTTGTCTATGAACACCTCTATGGCCTGGTCACTATCGCCATGATGAAAGCAAGAGCAGACTCAGTACCACATTATGTTAAATGTGTTCAATGTACACCACTTCAGATCTAACAGTGATGGAACATAATCTCCTGATTCTTTTTGCTGTCTCTGAAAATGAAAAGCGATCATAAATAACAATAATTCCTCTATAAGCCTTGGTAAAGTAGGATTGATCTCCCAGGCTGTGTGGATTGTTTGCAGCTAGCATACAGAAAATATAAGCTGTCCGTACCTCTGCGTTTCTGTGATACATCCCAATCTCTTAAACAAAGTCAAAGACAAAAAAAAGTAATTCAAACTATCATTACAAACTATCTTTTCAATGCCTTCTTCTTTGTTGCTCTTTCAGAAGGCGATGTATGTTTTTTCACTTAGAGACAGAGAATAAAAACACACAATAAATGAACTGTTCTCCACTCTTATTATAAAATATTCACAAAACCCAGAAGCGTTTTTTGACACACATTTATATTCTTTCTGTCACTTTGTCTGTATATCGTTCCTGTAAAGCCTATTATTTGTGTCCGTGCAGCATACCTACAGTATCATGCCCTTTTTGTGGTACTGCGCTTAACAAGGAGTAGCTCCAGCGGGTCCCTTCACTCCCACTCGCTGCTCACTGCTCGGTTTGTGACAAGTGACAAGCAGTGCGTTAACAGTCAAGATCCATCAATGTCAAAATCAGATCCGTGTGTAGAGACATTAGTTACTTGCACAATCGAAGCACATGTGTTTTTGTCTACGATTACAACAATGCTTCTATTACTGCTACTATAACTTCAGTTACACTATCTGATATTCCCATTTTAAATATCCATTCATTTTTACACAACACTGAAATATTTATTCTCAGATATTAGGTCAACATGTACTAATCATAGTTGATCTTTCCGAATAAAAGTTTAAACTGAAGTTAACATGATGCCCATAGCATTTATATATACACTACCGTTCAAAAGTTTGGGGTCACCAAAGTGTTTTCCATGAAAAGTCAAACTTATTCACCACCATACGTTGTGAAATGAATAGAAAATAGAGTCAAGACATTGACAAGGTTAGAAATAATGATTTGTATTTGAAATAAGATTTGTTTTACATCCAACTTTGCTTTCGTCAGAGAATCCTCCGTTTGCAGCAATTACAACATTGCACCAAAAACCAGACATTTGCAGCTAGAATAGTCATTTACCACATGAGCAATGTATAGAGTGTATTTCTTTACAGTTAAGACTAGTTTAAAGTTATCTACAGCTTTTCCTTAAAAATAAGGACATTTCAATGTGACCCCAAACTTTTGAACGGTAGTGTACGTTTTCAAGTAGATTGCCCAATCAGACGCAGAATAGGTTTCTAATTTGGCGCCCGTGGTACTGCAGACTAAATTCACGATGGCTACCCAAAAAAAAGTCCCACAGAACTCAATGTAAATTAAACCAGCTCGACCTCAGCTGACAGAGAACCTGACAGAGAACCTACAGCTTTCATAAAGGTCGGATTTTGTGGGGATGTTAGTGTCCCTTGTCATCCTGAACTTTTTTCCTTCTTAGATCCTTCAGTTTTCTATAAATCCACACTTTACTGCCACAAACTCTGCTCCATTCCTTCCCGCTCTGGCTCCGCTCTGGCTCCGCTCTGGGTCAGCACTAGATCATATATGGAATCGGGACGGAAGCGGAAGTAAATATAACAAACTACCTATTTAGGCCTAAACTTAACCAGTCATTCCCATAAAATAACCCCAACCCACCTTAACCCGAACCTTAACCATCTTAATCAGACACCTAAAACTTAACCAGTCACCACTTAAAGACTTATTGGTCTAAAACTAATTTGAAAGTAGGATTGTTACTTCCGGTTTCGTTCCGATTCCGTATATGATCGAGTGCCGACCCTCCGCTCTGCTGCTGCTCTGATCAGCTGCTCTGATTGGTCAAAGCGTGGCCGAGCCCTTCTGTGCACGTGCATGAGAGCCACACACGCGTATTTGACACAACGCATCATGGGAGTTCATCCACTGCGTAGAACCGGGAGGACCAGACGATGCCCAAATATAGGCGAGTTCTGCTAATCTCCCGGTCCATGTGAAGTCCCATGTGCTACTGAGCACAAGCCATTCATTTGAATAGGGCGCCATCTTGGATCACCCAGGGCTTGGTCCCAACATGTAAACTTGTGTGTGTGTGTTTGTGTGTGTGTGCATGAAGAAGAATCTCACCTGTGGATACTGCCTTGTATTCTGACGAACCCAGCTCAGCAGAATCTTCTCACTGTTGGTCTGCTGTAGGCCCGCCATCACATCCTTCATCACATCCTTTACCTACAAACAGACAGCGACAGAATCAACCAAAGCGCTGGAATTTGTCAATACACTGGAAAAAACTCTGGATCAAATATTGTACATATAAGCAAATACATGTTATGTATGTACAGTACAGTAAGTGTTAAAATTCAATTCAATAATATGTATTTTTGTATCGCCCTAATTAGTCACTAATTAGCATGGTAACTAATGTGGTTCATAATATAGTCTGAGAATTTGCTTTGAGAAAACCCTTTACATGTCGGTTTAATATTTAGTTCATCATCTGAGAATTTATCCCTGAACTTCAAAATGCTTTGTGAACAGCCAAACCATTTTTTAAATTTATTTTGCTCTTCATTCCCCTCTATTCAAACACACAGATTCCAAAAGCATGTCGTCAATCCCTTGGGCTAAATACAATATTTCACTAAGCATTTTCCATTAGCGGTTCTAACCTTTTGCTCATGTTTATTTTAGCGTGAACATAATCCAACTCTTTCGGCTTGTGTATTTGCGTAACTCAAGGGGAATTCCAGTCATTTCTTAATTCATCTAAAAGAAAGTAAAACTCTTTGTAATATCCCTTCAGATGTTTTAGTGGGAATAGAGCGCAGATGTTAAAGGCTGTTGTGTGTGTGTGTGTGTGTGTGTGTGTGTGGTTGGCAGGAGTGAATGACATTTCTGGAGCAGTGTGCGGAGCTGGGTGGCCGCCTCTGCATCACTGATGTACCTGCAGCTCTACCTTGCAGCCGAGTGCCCAGGCTTCTCCGGCTTTTGTGCTCCCAAAAAAAACGGTTCGATTCAAGCAATTCTTACCTCATATTTGATCTTATATTCTAATTCTCGCAGTGTTGCTTTTAATAATAATAATAATAATACATCAAACTTATATAGCGCTTTTTTGGACACTCAAAGACGGTTTACAAAACACATAAAAATAAACTTTGAGAAACACAATTAGTGAAAGGCAAGCTGAAACAGGTGGGTTTTGAGAAGAGATTTAAAGTTCTGTAGTGAGTCTGAGTTTCTGATTGGTTGAGGGAGTGAGTTCCAGAGAGTGGGGGCAGCTGCAGTGAAGGCTCGGCCCCCCCAAGGTTTGGTGTTTAGTCCTGATAGGAGTGAGGAGGTTGGAGTCAGTGGATCTGAGGCGGCGGGAGGGACAGTGATGATGGAGGAGGTCAGTGAGGTAAGAGGGGGCCAGGTTATGAAGGGACTTGTAGGTGAAGGGGAGGACCTTGTACTGGATGCGGCGGTATGGAGCAGGGAGCCAGTGGAGTTGTTTGAGGACAGGGGTGATGTGGTCTCTGGAGCGGGTGTGGGTGAGAAGGCGGGCGGCGGAGTTCTGGATGTATTGAAGTTTTTGGAGATGAGTGGAAGGGACACCGAAGAGGAGGCTGTTGCAGTAGTCCAGTCTGGAGGTGATGAAGGCATGAACCATGTTTTCAGCAGAGGACTGAGAGAGGGAGGGGAGGAGGCGAGCCATGTTGCGGAGGTGGAAGAATGATATTTTGGAGATGAGGTTTTACTTTGTGTCTTATTTGATTTTTTGTTGCCAAACTCGATTCTGTATGCAGTTGGGACCACATAACCTCGAGGCATGAACTTATGAATAGGGGTGTCGCGATACTTTCTCCTGCGATTCGATTATTGATATGCATTTGCCAAGTATCAATATTGATTTTATTTTTTATTTTTTTATAATTAGTATCAATACCAAATATATGGCTACATTATGCACCTCCATTCCATTTATCATGGAATAAAGTGTATTTTTTCACTTAACATTTTTCTTTTATTTATGCCATAAATTGGCATATGGTATATTTCTGACCAATATATCGATAATCGTCATATCGTGATAATATCGTTACCGTGAAATTATCGTTATCGTGAGCTTTGTATCCTGTATCGTATCGTATCGTGAGGTACCCTTAGGTCCCCACCCCTACTTATGCCGATCCAGTGAGGTACCAGGCGTTAAGCGGGGCAGGGCCTGGTTAGTACTGTGAAGGGAGACCTCGAGGAACACGATGTGCCACAGTGGAGTGAAATGTTGTTGTTGTTGTGCGTGTGTGTGTGTGTGTGTGTGTGTGTGTGTTAAGAGTTAAAAATGGCTCCGATCAGTTGCCTTGCATCTAACATTTGCCCCAGGACAGCTGTGGCTTCCTCTGTAGTTTAACACTGGATGTATGGAGTGTGTGTGTAGATTATTATCTTCTTGTGAGGCAGGACACATATAGGCCACATACTGTATGAAGGCAATTACAATAACAAAAACTAAAACATATCTAATTATTAAAGATTTTTTACTATCTCTATTTTAGTTTTTGTATTGGTACTTGTCTTTATACAGTATGTTTGTCTTTGGTACTATCTTCGTTACATTGTGCCATCCCCAAACCCACAAAACATGTAGAACAGAGCCTCTTCAGACAGACCGTATAAAACTTCCACTAAATAACATTGCCTCAAACGTGTTATTCTTGCCTTGAATTTACCTCAAGAATCAGACGTATCCAGTGTGTTCAAATAAAGCGGATGAAATGAACTAATCCTGGAATATTTGAACACCTTAATCTAATCCACTGTAACATTTCTGGCCCTATTACACCGGTTCAGTTTGACACCCGGGCAGAGGCAGGCCAACAGGTACTGCTCATAATTCAGTCTGAGGTGACTTCCATGAAACACCACAACACCGCATGCGTTTGTTAGACTCAGCGCCGTGGCAACATGTGGCCTGCTGGGTAGAAGAAAAAACGTGCTCATTTGGGAGTAGGTCACTGCATGCATTTACACTTTAATTGGAGAGGCTGCTTTACAAAGACCAGCTGACACACACACACACACAGACGCACACACACACATGCACACGTACACACACACACACACGCACATATCTAAACAGGATGGCACAATTAAGTGATAACCTCACAAGAGTAGAACCCTCTCAAGATCATTACCAGAGTACATTTAGCCATTTATCGCACCATTAGCTGTACGCCAAAACTAGCATGATTGAGATGTCGGGTTATTAACGAGAGAATAGACAATTAAAATGTGTTTGGGGGATGTGGCTCCGTACACAAGAGAATTTTGCAAAACGATAAGAAAAAAACGGGTGTGTGCGGCTGTTTATGGATGATTTGGGAATTTGAATAATTGGAGGTCAGGAGGTGTTTACGAGTAAATTTAGCAAAAGTCGACTTATTTTGTTTACTTAGAACATAATAATTGACATATATAACATACAGTATGACCACAGACTGTATGGCCCCTATTTTAGCTTCGTTAAGCTGACTAACAGCTAGCTTAATGAGGCTCAAAAGAGAAGAGCTTATGGACAAAGTTTTGCTACAACTCAGTCCAGCCTACAGACTTACATTGAAAAGTCAAGCCCTCTAGTTCAGTAATACTCACCATTTTGATGTTTTTATGGAGTGGATTTGAAACTCTGCAAACATCTGGCTCCACATTCCTGTTCAAGCTAGCACCGGTTTGCTAGCACTCGGTCTGTCCAACTCTTACTTAGAGAGTAATCTTTTAATCATCTCATTTTACGATATTTTGTTTGGAGGAATCTCTAAAAACAGCAGCACAAACCAAGAAAGGTGTGCGCAGCTGTTATAAAGTGAGCTGATATATTATACATTTTTATATCAGACTCAAATTCAATTGGATCATGAAAAAGTCACACAAACAAAAAGGTTGAAAAGGACAAAAAGTTGCCTTCCCCTTTGTAAAAACATGTACAAATGATGATAAATGTTCTAGGATTTAATTTATTCTCCATATTTTGTATCACTCGATTCAAAGGCTTTCATTGTTGTTGCTTTGATTTACTTTTTGTGGATGTCTTCCAAATTTCTTAATTCATTTGCCAACATTCATAATTAAAAGCGTATTCAAAGAACCAACACAGCATGGTATATTTAGCATAAATTGTAATCAATATGGCGGAAAAACATGTAGATTCATTATTGGCTGAAGGCAACAAACGCAATACTTATACATGATTTCTTAGGGCAGTGTCTCCCAAAGTGGGGTCCGCGGCCCCCTGGTGGGCCGTGAGGGTACTGCAGGGGGGCCGCGGGAGGTCATAAAAAAAATAATATAATTATTTAATGTTAAATTTATAGTGTTTTGTTTGTAATATTAAAATATTTGTGTTCATTATTTGACTTGAATAATCCACTGTAATAATTTTTGTATTACAATGTTTGTAGCAGAGGCTATTTCCCCAAAATAAAATAACCAGAAGAGCCTATTCTTAATGTTGTCTTCTTGGTTATTATTTTGGGGGGCCACGCAGACCCTTCAGATTTTTAAGGGGGCCTCGGTGTTACTGAGTTTGGGAATGGCTGTCTTAGGGGATTGCTGGCTGTTTACTATTAGCAGAAGCTGGGGCTTATTTTACATAATCACGACGCTCTCTCTGCATAAAGTAACGTATGTGCATTTAAATGAGAGCATACTGCGTGTATCTTAATGCCTTTTGGACGCTTCAGCAATTTTTATCAGGGGAGCGTGATCTTCAGCTTACAGAGATGAATACCACTAACTTTCCTGAGCTTATCACCCACCTCTCCAACTTTGAATTGTATTTTTGAATGCTTTTTATTTTAATTTCCACTGGATCACCACATCCAAACTTACTCCTATCACTGAACACATCTATCTTCTCCATCTCTGCAGATTTATCCATGTATGTCTTGTACTTTTCATGTCCTGTCAATGGTATTCTGGCCTTAGCCATCCGTAAACTCTGGTCAATCTTAATTTCCCTGCTTTTACCGTCTGGGTCTAGTCCCAGCGTCTGCATTTACATCGGTTGACTCCCATACGACCAATCAGTGAGTGCGGGAGGCGGGTGTTGTAGGTAGATGTGGGTGACGTCAAGAGTTTGCGCCGAATTAGCTGATTGTACTGTAGTTTGCCAATGGTGAAGAATGCGATAGTAAAGTAATCTGTACTGGATCTATCAAGAAATTGAAGCCGGAGCAAGAGAAATGTTTAGCAAATGTATTTGCTGGCAAAGATGGTGGCGCTACTCCCCACGAGGAACAGAGGCGTGGCAAAGGAGATGGCTATGCTAAATGCTAAATGCTAACGACTCACTCGGGCGCATTGCATATGTCACAATAAACTAAGATCCAATCGTTTCAATTTTCAAAAGGAGTTAACCCCTCCCACCTGTGTTGCATATTTCAGAAATGCAGCACGCGTCGATACACATTTTCTGTCATCCATGTATCAACATCTATAAAAATATGAAATTCTATATTTAATCATGAAATGTTTTATATAATGATTAATCATCAAGTGTTTTTTATAAAGTGCTCTTGAATCATCAGCTGTTTGCATAAAAGACCTTTTGTATAATTTTTAGCCTGAGTTCAGAGAAGATTCAAGGACAAGGTTGGTTCCATTGTAGGGACAAATCATGCCTCCCTTATCGGGACAAGGAATGAGACCCAAAACAGGTCCAGACCAGACTCAAGGGACTGGAAGGGATCCAGATGACGTATGCGGGGGAACTTCTGCTTTCTTTCATACATTTCCATAAAACTGTTGGTAGGACATTTTGCAGGGTCGTCTGAGCAGGGACAGAGACGGAGAGAGAGCGCCTGGTTGTTCTCTCTCATGTTCAGGCCTGGAGGGTTAGTTAAATTGGCTCAGCTCATAGGGCTAGGGCGGGAAATAAGAGCTCCTAAATATTTAATTGTGAAGAGAATTAAATGTTGATTGATTTTGAACTCTTGAATGCTTGGTCTTATTTCTGCATCAAATTCCGAGATACGTTCGTCGTTTTTTACATTGTTTAGTACGAAATGTAACTTGTACTGTGGTGTGGTACGACCAGGCTAGGACAATGGTAATCCACGTTAAAATGACAACAATGGGCAAAAATCAGCACACACTTATCTTAGCTTCTTTACTAAATCTCAGCTTCTCTTGCTTCAACTTATCGGAGTCAATGTGAACCTGGCTGTACGTGTGGGATGTTTTTGATGGCTCCATAAAAGAAGTTAGCCGTAAAAAAGCACAGATGCGTGTTTGGGGCTCACCTGCCAGTGGAGAATGATGCTCCAGATGAGGCCGAGAATCAGTTTATGATTCCCATCCACAATATCCGCCGCTCCGATGTTCACCAGCTCCACCTACAGTACAAAAGATACGAGAAAATAGTTTCATGGAGGGTTTGGAGAGGTCTGACACATGCACACTTATCCCCATGTACAAGTTCAAAGGAGGACTTAAAGGTGATGTCGGAACCTTGAAGTGTATTTCATTTTTAAAAGGGTCCCATGGTATGTCTCATCCTGCAGCTATCATATACAGCAAGTATGTTTCAACAATAATATATTTTTAAAAGTCCCTCCCCATGTCATAACTACCACTGGTAAGATTTGCTCAAGGAGAATTGTTTAACCAATAATGAGGGTTTGAATTTATTTAGACCAATCAGGAGGCTGCAATGGTGAGCATGGGCGGGTCTAACCAGTTTATGTCTTCAAAATGTTTTGCTCTCTCTTCATTCTTTCTCACAATTCCAACTTCAACCGTTAAATTCTTTGCATTTTGAGTCACTATGTCTACTTGAAGCTTGGCGCATCTCCATCACTTGGTTTCAGGCATTTTTCCCAATTTAACCCTTTTGTAGAGGTCTATAATTACAAAACACAAAAACTAAAATATATTTCTTGTTTTGTTTCCTAGTGCTCCTACATCTTAGAGAAAAATGACATACTTTCTACAAACGGTGAACATTAAAGATACAGTCAGTGATTTTTTTCCAGATGCATTTTTAAAATATTGTGGGAAAACGTCCCTAAACCCTTAAAGTAGTCAAGTAATCATGTTTTTTCAAATAATAATGGGATTGACCAGATGCCTATAGTCTCAAAAAGTTAATAAAACATATTTTGGAGCAGACCGATAAAAATAAACCAATGGGATTCGTTCATCCCCAACGAACCAATGGGATGTGTTTACCCCCGTCACCCTCTTCCTGTTTCTCGCGAGTGCACCGGAGTTATCGGATTTTCTTAAACCTAAAATGGCTGAACACAGAATGCCAATTTCACGTTTGCTCCACTCTCCCTGTTGGGACAAAGAAAAGAAAGTGCTGGGTGTTTGGTTTGGTGGAGAGGGAGGGGAAAGTGGTTTCGAGTTGGTGCTACGGCTAAGCTAACGACATCGCTAACTGCATCTGGGCTGAGAGCCAAAAAAAAAAGTGGCCGTCATCAGATTTGGGTTTTATCAACTTTTTCAAACTATACAGAGGAGAGTTACAGAAAAACACACATTGTACAACTTTTTTGTCACTTCTGAGAAACAGAGAAGTCAGTATTAGGATCTACAGCAGCGGGAGGTCATGGTTCTCACTGTGTTGCTCAATCTGGAGAGGCTACGAGACAAAGATGCGTTTAAAAGATGTGTTGAGTATTGTTTGTAGTTTATAAGTTTGGTGCACATGGGGGAAGCTTCTGAGTTCAATGTTTGACAATTTCCAATCATAACAATGTTGTTTTTTTATTGACAAAATTACATGCAGCAACAGCAGTCTTTTCCCACTAGAGGTATTACCCAAATACAATTACAAACAGTACAAGTGTAAATTGTTTTTTGTGTATACTAACCACAAAAAATAAATAATATGACACAATTTTATCTTGATTATTTTAGTTGTATATACTGTAGATTTAAAGCCATTACTTTAAACTGCATTTCTAATCATCTGAGCTCATTAAGAAACACTGTCTCCTGAACGAAATTGAAAGAAAGGAGAAAAGCTCAAATGCACCATATGTGAGTGTATATATTAGGATTGTATTGTTTTTTATGGTGAATGGGAGAATAGACAGTGACATATGAAAGAATAAGTGTATATTTCACGATGACAAAGAGGTGTACACAGGCCCAAACAAAAGAAATGCAGCTTTTCAGACTTAACGGATGTCTCGCCGTTTCCTAATCCGTATTACAGGACGTGTGCAGGAACGTACATTGTTTTTCTGGAGGATCTGCAGAGCGCGGTTGACATTGTTGAAAGAGTGCACGCGTGTGAATCCTCTCTCCAACCTCACCTGAAAGAAGATGGGGGACAGATTACACAGCCGTAAACAGACCTTGCTCGAGGGCAAACTCTGAGCAGCCACATTACAATAAAGACACATTACAGTGAGGAGATAGCATCGCAGCAGAACAGGTGGCACCGTGTCGCACCCTAATGCAAACAGATAAAGGACGACCGGGCAGCGCAGGAGGACAAGGAGAGGAAAACATTGTGGTTTAACAAAATATCAACAAATAGGGACAAATAGAAAGTGCACGACGTGGTGAAACTTGTCGCGAGTCATCTTTGGCTTCGTGTCTATGGAGATGTTAACGCTTTGACTGAGAAAACCTTATGACATTTAACATATTACCTCATTCACTGCTATATAGATTCAACGCGTTTCAGCCTAGCTTGGCCTTCTTCAGGGTGGCCTTCTTCTGCACCCTGAAGAAGGCCAAGCTAGGCTGAAACGCGTTGTATTTTAATCTACAGCCATGAGAAAATAAAGGCTTTTTAAACTGTCTAAACTATTGACCAAGAGTGCTTTGGATTTCTTGATTTTCTAAGATCTTCACCATTTGCCTTTTACCTGGAAAGTCAAAACTCCATTTTTTGTTACTAAGTTAAACCCCTCTTCCAATTGAGCACCTGGTCTTTTAAATAATTTTACACACTTGTACCACGCAGCACCCCTTACCCTTTGCTTTTTGAGAAATCCTGTAAACGCTTTTTATTGTATGAAAGTTGAATATTTTGTGTGTACATAAGACAATCCTTTGAGTGTATTGTGTGTACACGTTTAATTTGTTGAAAAATAATTATACATTAAAAATACAGTTCTAAGTTTCTGTTTTGTGTCATAATAAGAATCTGTCATACATTGTAAAATATCAGTAAAGAAAAAAAAAGGCTGTTTTCTCCATATCTTGGTCAGGAAACAGCATTTTGTGTGAAAGTTACCTATGTTGTACTCTCAATTACTAAAAAACTAAAAGGGATAGAAACGTACTTTTTCTTTAAATGAACGGCAAGAGACAGAGTTTTCATTTGGTATGTTTCATGTGTGTGTCAACCAAGGGCTCACATTTATATGAGGTTTGGAAAAACACTAAATATATCCAAAATCTCTGGCAGTGAATGAGTTAAAGGGGATGTCTGTATAACTTTGTATTTTAATTTTAGCTTCTTGACCGAGTTTTCGCTGCAACCCGATACAACACTCCCACTCACTTCAGAAGTTAAAAATCACTTCTCACAACCCACTTGTTTCTCCTTGCCTTTCCATACTTTTATTCCTCAATGTTTATTTTTATCTTGTTTGTTAAGCGCTCACACATTTGATGTACTGGTATTATCAAGCATCAGTACTGTGTGAAGTATTTTTTCAAAAACAACCACAATTTCATATGGTCCCTCTCCTTTAGATTTTCTATTGGAGAATTTGTCCCAACTAACTGATGCTTGCCTTGGAAAATAAAAGTAATCTCTGTTCACAGTTCAAAAAGTGACTGAAATTCACTTTAAATGCAAGCGCGGTCGACGTGGAAAGTCAAATCTCGTCGTTATGAGGCTAAGAATGTCTATTATCCAAGAATAAAATGCATTGAAATGAATGCTGAATGCATGTGTGTCAGAAAATCCATACATATTAACATAACATAACGGCCATAATTCAATCCAGCGAATGATCCGGGATTATACAGATATATAGAGCTACACAAAGATATTGACATGAACATCCTTCCTTTGGTTTTGCATCCAAAAACAAATCTCATCTAATTTGATTTTGTTTCAGCCGATTGATCACGCTACGCCGCAACAGAAATCCCTTTTGTCGAGATTATCCATAATTTCCAATTGTTTAGCTACAGTAATCGCTAAAGAGGCTTATTCCCCCGGCTTTGCGCGGTAATGAACTATAATTGCTGTTAGAAACTCAGGGATGAAAGAATTGTGTTTTATATCATTAGCGAGGCATTCGAGAGGACACATACCAGTTCCCGCCCAGCCAGGCCCTCCAGCAGCTCCAGCAGCTTCCTCCCATCACACAGGTCCGAGAACAAGTCATCCACGGGCTTTTTCCCTGTCTGCACAAAAAACACAAGACGACCACAGAAAAAGTGGGTTAAAATACTGCTTCTGGTTTTGTAAAGTGCTCCGAGATTCATTCTATTCTTCTGTTGTGATTCAGGGCTATACAAAACAATAATTGGAATTGGATATGGCAATCTGTCTTCTTTTAAAAGGTAGTTTGATTCGATGGGGGATACTTATTTGGATGCAGCAAAACAGTATTTAGTTTGTCATGTTCAAGAGGGAGAATTCAATAGACACAAGGACAAAACAGTTGCTGCACTAAAAATAGGAAGAAAACACAAAATGAAAACCAAAAATGTACACTGCAAATATGATAAAATATGAATGGTTTTTATCTCCACCCGTCCTGCTCCACCCAGAGGCTACTCCACCTCTGCTGCTGTGACTCGTCCTGCTCCACCCAGAGGCTACTCCACCTCTGCTGCTGTGACCCGTCCTGCTCCACCCAGAGGCTACTCCACCTCTACTGTTGTGACCCCTCCTGCTCCACCCAGAGGCTACTCCACCTCTACTGATGTGACCCCTCCTGCTCCACCCAGAGGCTACTCCACCTCTGCTGCTGTGACCTGAAGGGCTGTTGCTGATCATTACTATTATTAGCTTTTTAGAATGATCAATTGTACTTATTATTTTTGCTGCTACTGGACAACTGAATTTCTCCTACAGGGATCAATAAAATATCTACTGTATATATCTAAATGTGGCAAAATGCTTCTTAATGTCTTAAAATGGGATATTCCAACCTGACAAAACTATTTAGTCTAATTTCAAGAACTGTTGCTTTATTTTCTCATTCCATGGGAGACATTTCATCTGCTCGTCCCTTTGGCAAATCTTGTTTTAAGGCAGTCAACATTTTTATTTTTCATAGATCTTTGCAGTGTACAAAAGCTAAATTACACTTCCGAAGCTAAGAGCCGTCAAATTATCTGCTCTGGGAGTAATAGTGTTAACAAGCAGAAAATACAAAAACTGACCAAATATTGTATAAAAACACTATGTACTACAAATGTTTTTTTTTATCACATTCTCATGGATTAGATACATACAGTACATAAGAAGACAAAGCATTGCTATAGTCTTCTATGACGGCCAGATGACTCCACTCTACAGTAAAGCACTTAAACAAAGGGTACATATACAGTGTGTTGTGTATCAAAGGGTATTCATAATTAGCTTCCTAATGTCATTCTGCCGCACATTCCAGCAAAAACAAAGTGGCTCAATCTGCAATCACAAATCATTTTCACTTTTAATGTGGCAGCAACACACAGGGGATTTCTGATTCTCCGCACAGACAAGTCCAACAGACAAGACACCAGAAATTATTTAGCGTCGTCAATAAAGAAGTCTATTTTCCCTTGCACGCTGCGGAATAGAAGAGGCACCTTGCACTAATTGTTATGTAGTCTCTATACAGACACATTGGAATGGTCATCTTGGTGACAGAGGGCCCTCCCAGCCTCAGCTCATGCTCGGGTTATTACAGACTCTTGCTGCCGGTGGAGTGGGTGTGCAATGTCAAGACAACGCGGAAAACAAGTGTACTTATTTATTGTAAGCTATAATCTTACAGGCGCGCTGACAGGCAACCAAAGTCAGTATCGTCTCGCCTCCAGAGCTGAACTCAGACACAGTATGACACGTATGGATGGTGTTATATATAGTAACATAAACGGACAGGAACGGATACAGTTATTGGGGTGTGTATCGTGAATTCGCTACAAGTGCTTCAAAAAGTCTAGTTTCAAGATAATGAAACTAAAACTATAATTGCTTTTTGGATCGATTAACACTAGAAGTCCCGGCGTTTTTGGCCCCCAGTTTAGAAGAGGAGAAGCTAACTTGCTACTTTGGTTGCTAGTATTTGCAGGTAATGACCGAAAACAGTGTCTATGGTCCTGTGTGGGCGGCACGGTGGCTGAGTGGGCGGCACGGTGGCTGAGTGGACTTGCTGAGAGCACTCTCGCCTCTCAGCAAGAAGGTCCTGGGTTCGAATCCCGGTCGGACCAGGGCCTTTCTGAGTGGAGTTTGCATGTTCTCCCCGTGTCTGCGTAGGTTTCCTCCGGGTACTCCGGTTTCCCCTACCACTAAAAATATGTCCAATAGACATGTCTGGCATGCGCCTCCTGTACCGGCGACCCCGCTCCCATCTCTGTGTGGAGTGAGAGATAAATGCCCAAAAATTAACAATTGTAAAACCGCTTTGAGACTCAGATCTGCAGTGAAAAGGCGGTATATAAATAAAGATTACTTACTTACTTACTTACTTACTGTGTCTATGGTCCTGTGTCTACTGTCCTGTGTCTATGGTCCTGTGTCTATGGTCCTGTGTCTATGGTCCTGTGTCTGCGGTCCTGTGTCTATGGTCCTGTGTCTGCGGTCCTGTGTCTACGGTCCTGTGTCTACGGTCCTGTGTCTACGGTCCTGTGTCTACGGTCCTAGGTCTATGGTCCTGTGTCTATGGTCCTGTGTCTACGGTCCTGTGTCTACGGTCCTGTGTCTTTGGTCCTGTGTCTACGGTCCTGTGTCTACAGTCCCGTGTCTATAGTCCTGTGTCTATGGTCTTGTGTCTATGGTCCTGTGTCTATGGTCCTGTGTCTATGGCCCTGTGTCCATGGTCCTGTGTCTATGGTCCTGTGACATGTTTACATCCAGGGAAACAGCTACACTTCATACAATAATGATTGTATTTTATTTTTAGTTTAGTTTTTGGACGACACACTTTAATATAAGATCACCTTTAACGCAAAGCAAAAAACTGTAATACATTTTCTAAAATTGCGTTAGAGATTTGAAGTTGGCAAAATGGCCCTCAATTTGTATCGCCAAAAATAAAAACACTTCTCTTGAACATTGCTTATTCTGGGAAATACATCCATTTGTTTCAAAATGTGCATTTCAATATTGTCTATGAGACTTTTCCTGACCTTAAAAAGGAATCTCCCATGGCAACAGAACTTGGCGACGTCATCGTATTTGTCGCAGCAGAACATTCTATCACCACAGCAACCAACATCATGTCATCGTAACCATGGCTCTGAAAAGTTTATGTGTGTGAAGACAGACAAGACAAGGGACTTAACCAAACACGAAGAAAATCCGCGGATAAAAGCCCAGATTGACAAAGCAAAGATATCCATACAACACTGACAAGATGTGGTGTCTTAGAAGAAACAGGAGTAAAAAGGAGCTTTACAAAGCCATGGTGGACAATTTGGTTCTTGCAGAAGAATCAAACCAGGCTTTGTCGGCTGAGGTCAAGAGACTGAAGGAGGAGAAGAGTGACTTGGTCAAGGCTCAAGAAGAGGAAACAAAGAGACTGGAGGAGCAGGTGACACAACTGCAAACGGAGAAGTCTGCTCTGGAGAAGGACTTTATGAATTCCACCACTTCGATCCAGCACCAACTCGACACCACCCTCCAGGAGAAAACCAGCCTCCAACTCTCTGTGCAACAAACCACTGCAGAGCTGCAGGACCTGAAAGAGGCTCATGCCAGGTCTGAGGAAATTAACGACGAGGTCACCAACTTCTCCACGATCCTGAAGGAGAAGAACCAAGCCTTGTCCACTGAACTGCAGTCGGTACAGCAGACTCTGAGGACTTTGGAGAAGCGTGCTGAAGAGGACAGGCAACAGAAGGTCTCCATCATGAAGGGTATGGACACAGATCTCTCAAAAGTTGAAGATGAAAACATGAACACATAAGAAGTAATGAAATCTTGTCTTCCAGATGCTGAACATACCCAGCACCAACTCGGCACCAACTCGACACCACCCTCCAGGAGAAAACCAGCCTCCAACTCTCTCTGCAACAAACCACTGCAGAGCTGCAGTCGGCAAAGGACAAGGTGCAGGAGCTGAAAGAGGCCTGTGCAAAGTATGTGGAAAGGAATGAGCAGGTCGTCAACTTCTCTACAATTCTGAAGAAGGAGAAACAGGACATGTCCACAGCACTGGAGTCCCTAAAAGTGACTCTGAATAAGGAGAAACAGGACTTGTTCACAGAACTGCAGTCTGTAAAACAGACACTGAGGCGTTCTGAAGAGGACTGCCGACAGAAGGACTCCATCATGAACGGTATGGACACACATCTCTCAAAAGTTGAAGAAGAAAACATGAACACATAAGAAGTAATGAACTCTCATGTTCTAGATTCTGGACATTATATTGATGAGCTGAAGACCAAGATGCAGGACCAGGAGATGCATCTGAGGAAAGGTAATTATGAGCTGGAGGAAAAACTGCTCTGGTCTCAGAAAGAGATGGAGGAAGTCAGAGAAAACTTTGTTCTGAAAAACTTTGTTATTGCAGAAATGGAGGAGGAGCTGAACAAATGTAAGGAGGCAAAGGCAGTGGCAGTAAGGTCACTGCGAAAGGCCCTGGACGAGAACCTACGTCTTCATTATGAACTGAAGTACCCCTCTAAGCAGCAGATCCAGGACCCTCAGGAGGACCACGCCCCACACTATTCTCAGAAGAAGTGGAGGCGCAGTCATCAAAAGACACACGTCTACAGACCGAACCAAGCTCCACTGGGCACGGTCCACAAAAACTAAGACTAAGTTCCGATTGAATTACCCCCCCCCCCCCTCCCCGTAATCCCACGTCTTCCCTCGACCCTTTTAACAAAAAACGGCACACTGGATCCTGACCCACAACCCTCACAGAGTCACAGTAACTGGAGTAGAACCTCCACATGCTCTGAGTATTTAATACTCATGAGTATTGTGTGTGTTCGGCCATTATGCTAACGGCTAAAAGCTAGTGCTCCCGGCCTCTGATGCTAAAGGGTGATGTCAGTGTGGGAGACCGCTGTAAGACCAGGCGCCACAGTGGGACGACTGCGGCTGTAAAGTGCCACACTGTCGTTGTGTCCTTTGGCAAGATACTTCACCCACGTGCATGAATGGGTGTGATTGCATGGGGTGGTCAGAGGGGCCGATCCAGGTTGGCAGCCTCCGTAGTCTGTCCCAGGGCAGCTATGGC